AATACAATATTTCATTATTTCATAATTTCATTACATGCTGCTATTTAGCGTGTATAGTTTGTGAGGTTTTTTAATGCAAGTGTCTCAGCATATAAACAATGAGAGACAAGCTTCTCTTACTCCTGCTATACATTACTGCACCTCTTATGAATAAGGGTCTTCTGGGTATTTCCGTTTTCATTATCATTCACTCACAAGACAAATCAAACTCATTTTACATACAGGCCATTTAGAATAACAGTTTTCAGTACCTAACAGGTTGGGCTTTTGTTTTGTTTTTTGGGAGGGCGGTCAAAAGTTATATTTTCTGTAATTATCTTCAGTGTATTAACTTAGGCTTAAACTCTGCTGACACTAATGTGCAAGTTACCCTGAAGAATTCAGTAGGATACCTCAACTGTGTGTTTTCAGGATTAGTGTCATAATCTTTTGTTAAACAGGGAAACAGATGCATTTTACTACTTAAAATTGTTGCTGTACATATGTATAAGCAATATTTGTATGCATATGTTATCCTTCTCTGTACTTTAAAATCCATTAAGGAATTTTTTTAGTGAATAAATGAACTAATTCCTCAAAGATATCAGGCCATATAATATTTAATATTTTCAACATTTATGTGGACTATTTCAAATTAATTAGAATCTTTTATGCCTTTTTATATGCTACCTCCTCAAGATATTTTGAACCAAAAACATTTCACATTTATTAAAACAGAATTATACATAATCAAAGAAAAAAAGACTTCTAAAACATGGAAAGAGAAATACCAAACCAAGATGAATTGCAATATTGATTTTGCGAGGATAAATGGTTTTTGTAATATTAATATAGAGAAACCTTTATTACATTGACTCTCTAGGTGCAGTTAGAGTCTCTCTAACAATCTGTTTAAAATCTTCATTTTTCATCCTTATGGGAAAACCTCACTTGCTAAATGGATTTCATAAACAGTAATCTGTCAAGATATATATAGATAACAATTTGTGATGTTCACTGACCAGTTTGTTATGGTAAACAATACAGAAGTAAGGGATTTCTAATATATGCCAATGCTTACAACCATTACAGCTCTCTTTCGTTCACTGCAGAGTCCTGAAATCTACATTTCTTTTGTCCCACAGTGAATTTTCTATTTTGAAACCCTCAAATTCCAAACAAGGAGACAAAGTTTGCAAAAAAATAAATATGCAACTTGCAAAAGAACAAGCATCTTTTTAAAAGAGTCTTAACTTTCAAAAAATGACTGAAAACAGATTACCACAGACTGTCATACAAATATTTTAATGGATATATACTTCCAGCTGCAGAAGGAAATCATGCTGCCCAATACACACAGATTTACTCCTCAGTAAGATTCCAGATCTCCCAGGGCACCACAAAGTTGAGATATATGGTGACTCTTCCCCTAGAAACATTGGTAGATTGGTGTAACACCAAGTCACAGCTAGTGAGGATACCAACTGCCTTTGACCTAGCTGAATGCAGAGTAGCGATCACAGACTGCTCATATGGGATGACCTGGCAATTGCAGGTACGAGATTTCATGTTTCTCTTCTGTTGTGTTCCCCATATAAAACCTTTTGACTTTGGTCTTTATACAAAGGACAAGAATTTCATTGTAAATGACTAAAAAAACCTTCAATAGGGGAATGCTTTTGTACCTCAAGTAAAACAGGAGCCATAGGTGCATAAGAACAAGGTGAATTTTAAAAGGATTCTTAATACAGGCAAGTAATAAATGCCTACAACAAAGGGAGATGAAGCCATATTCCTGGCCATGACTCATGCACTAACACTCTATATCTCTATCTCTAACCATATTCTAAATATTCAAGAGGACATTAACACATGATGGGTGTTAGTTATGCTGTTTAATGTATTTTACTGGAAGGCTGTCAGATACTATACTGATGAATTTTGTAGAAGAAGCCATACAGTAGAAGTATACTCACTAATGGTCCAAGCTAACTCTAGATTCAAGTCCCATGCATACATAAAAAAGAAATCCTGGTTTTATGATGACATAAATCAAATGTTTGGCTCTAGACCAGGGGTAGGCAACTCCCGGCACAGGTGCCAGAGTGCAGCACGTGAAGGCATTTTGCTCAACATGCACACCTTGGGGCAGACGGCAGGGAAGGGGCTGGGGATGCACTGCCACAACAAGAATCAGGCCCCTTGCAGCTCCCCTGACATCCGCTCCTGGCATGCCAACATCTTACAAGCCAAGTTCGTGGGTGTTTTTGGCACTCTGTCCAAAAATGTGCCGGCCCCTGCTCTACACAGTAGTATAACTAAGGAGGGGCTACTGGGGCAGCAGCCTTTATGGGAGAGGAGGTACAAAAGCAGCCGCTGCCACAGAAGCAGTAGATAACACCACCACAATTAACATGGCAGGAACCTGTGCTGCTCCATGCTATGCAGCTCACCCAAAAGTAGCTGTGCCCTTCTACTCCCCTGGATCTAGATATTGTCAAACTTTGAATTTTGGGGGGTATGGGTTTGGTGGTTAGAGTTGGAACACACACAACTAAAGAATAAGGAAAATTCAATCAGATGGCAACTTAATACTACAGGATTGTCATCGCCAACCATTCACAGTGACAGGAACGGAAAATAAGAAATCTTCATCCTTACAGATTTCAATACTGCCATTAACAGATACTTCTATGACCTGCAAAACTAAAACATCCCCTGTCTAATGATTGACAGTAACATAAAAGTTCTAGTGAACAATCTGCAGCAAAATACTGCACTCAAGTGAACTCAAGAAGACACACACACTTTCTAGGAGCAGGATATGTTTATTCCTCTGTACACCCAAGGCTAGTTTTGAAGGTGTCCTATCACTGTCACTTAAGTCTCTCCATTCTTCTTTTTAAAGGCACAAATGCTAACCGTCGCAAAACATTTTACAATAATTGGTTTGCATGAAAATGAGAGCCTGTGAAATCTTACTGGACAACTTTTTAAAGGGGAATTTAGATTGTGAGGATTAAGCAAGAAAAAAGAAAATGCTGCAAGAGAAAGAGCAATAGCCAGAATAACAATATATTACCTACAGATATATTTTACATCTCACATTCATGGTAGTATAGTCACGCTCTTTTACTGTATATAAAGGCCCTAGGATACATTAGATACAAAATTTAGCCTGTGGCACAAAATTAAGGTGCAGATACAGAATCCAGTCTTCTAGGGAAACAGATTTTACAATAGGGAAAGTGCTGAAATTAGATTAATCCATTCCCTGAAAATTGACATTATTTCCTATTGGGGGAAGAGGAGCATCATACTTTTTGCTTCCCTTACTATTCAAAATGCCAGTTTTGGTCAAAATGCTCTTAATTTTCCAAAGAGCATGTCAAAAATATGTCTTAACAGTGAATGAGTAGTAACGTGGAATCAGTTAATTACAAATCATTAGAGATACAGAAGAATCATAATAAGACCATTCTCAAATCACTATCAGGGCCTGCTTATACCTTATACTGTAAGCCAAACAAATGTTGATTAGCTTAGTGTTGTTCTGGTTAGTGGAGCTGTCATACCTTAAGGCGAAAAACCATCTATGACTGTCCTTCACCTGCACAGCTGTGACTTGCCACTAGAGGCTTGGTGTGCAGGGGCAGGACTAGGAGCTAAGGCAAAATATGTCCTGTGGGCCAGATCCAATCCACCAAGGGATTTTGTCCAGCCTGTAGCAGATCCCTTGGCCCCACCCGGCCTTGGCACAGGAGGTGGCCCAGGCCATGTCGTATGCAGCCAATTCCACTGCCCCTGGGTGCACAGAAGTGTTGGGGCAGTGTGGCTACTGAACTTGTTTTCTGGAAGCCTTGTAGCAGAAGCCCCAATGCCCTGGCACCCTGGCTCCTCTGCCCCACGCCCACTGCCGGAGGCACCAAACAGAGCAGCCAGGCGGGATCTCTGTGGAAACCAGCTGCAGAACCATGCATGGGATGGAGCCACAGGCAGGCAGGGAGCAGCATACGGGAGCAGAATGGGCGGGAAGGGCCAGGGTCAGGGCCAAGGTTGGGGTGAAATCAGGATCATGGGGCAATGACAACCACATGCAAGGTAAAGCCACTTAGTGAGTTTTAGTGAGTACAGGTGGCATGGGGTGCTGACCTGGCCTGCAACAGCTCACCAAAATTCCCTGAGTGGCCCTCTGGCCTAAATAACTGCCCACCCATGAGCTAGGGGCAGGACCAGCTTACCACTCCCTCCATCATCCCAGGATGCAATGCCCCTCATGAGTCAGGGTGAGCAGGGACACCAGGGTGCAGTGCAGCCAGGCACAGTGCCTCACCCTCCGGGAATGTCAAGCAGAGCAAGTGCCACAGCTGCAGTGCCTCCAGCCACCACCTGGACTTGCTTGCTGCTTGAGCTCTGAGGGGTCTGATTCTTTTTTCCTCTGGAGCTTGCCCCTCCTGCACCTGCAGGAGCAGCGAGTCAGTCTGAGTTGCAGCAGGAGGCACTGGGCAGCCACTGGGCATTCCAAGGCTGCAGCGCTTACTCTGCCTGATGTCTCCAGGGGCGAGGCACCATGCCTGGTCCCACTGCGCCCCAGTATCCCCACTCATCCTGACTCAGGAGAGGCCATTGCATCCTGTGATGCTGGAGAACTTCAATTTGGGCAGAATAGCTGTAGGTAGTGGCCACACCTTAATGGAACAGGAGCAAAATTAAGCAGATTAGAGATATTCCTACCCTGGAATGGCATAACTTTAAACCAAATAACAAGCCCTTAAGCCAATCCAGGGCTTCAGAACTCCAGAAGCTTTAATGATGCCTGCATTGAAACCAATATAAATGTTCCATTGATGCTTGTGCGCATTAGATATGCATATTTATTTAAACGAAGATCTAATTTAAATATATGGCATCTTATTATGGTTACTAATGATTTTAAAATTAGCCAATGTGAGAAAATATGAATGAGATAATATTAGAAGTAAACTGCATTTAAAAAAAAACAAAAACAAAGAAAGACTTACCTTCCTGTTTCAGAGTCAAATCCAAAATAAAGGTCACTGCAGTGGTCACATCTCTGTCCATTTACAGAAGCATCTTGACAAACACACTGGCCACTTAGACGATCACAGACCTGACTGACTGAACCAGTTATATGGCATACACATGGCAGGCAGCCAGAAGTACTGAATTGGGATATGTAAAAACCTAGCAAAGAGAAGAAAGGTTGAAAAAAGACATTTAATAAAGTTTCAAAAGAAGAAATATAACCAAAAATTATGCTGATGTGCCTACTTATTTTATACTTGATCAATGAACCCAAATAAAAACACCAAGGAAAATATTCTCTATGTAAAATGCATATATACAATGCTACACATTTTCCAGAACAGGGTGTTCTAAACTCTGTGAGGCTTGCTAGCTCTGGTTCTCTGTTCATTCTCCTTCAGATGCTCTTCTTTGACCTCTACCAGACATGCAGGTAAAGGTGCCATGGGATCTGATGCATGATCCACACAATCACATTTCCTACCATGAAGCATGTGGATGAAAGAAGGTGTGATTGTGGGATCAAGCGTCAGATCCCATCACATGTTACTGCTGGTGGAGGGGCAGCTGGGGCTCCCCCTACACTGGCAAGTAGCAAGCTCCTGAAACTGGGAGCCCCCTTAGTTAATGGGGCTCCCAGCCATGAGGGAACATCATGTATTTCCATGGCTAGGAGCCCCATGATCTGAGGCTCTCAGCCATGGAGTTGCACCATGTACTCCTATGGCTGGGAGGCCCATCAGCTGCAGGCTCCCAGCTTGTGGAAGCACTGTCAACTGCGGCCTCTCAGCCTCGGGATGCAGGGACATCTGGGAACCTCTAGCTGACAGGGATCCCAGTCATGGGACTCACCTGGCCACACATTCAATTAATGGTGTGAAAGGAAACAGCCACAAAGCTAGGACACATTTTTTTGTGGAATAACTTTGTGGCTTATTCCTTCTTTTATGCTGTCATTAATTGCTTTAATGTGTGTCCAGGTTACAACTTAAGATGTGATTAACTGGTTAATCACATCTTAAGTGTAATGTGTCAAAGGCCTTAGACAGAGCAACTCAAAACAGAAAAACTATGCCACATGTATCAGGCAGGCAGAAGTCAAGGCAGGGTGAAAACTTAGGGCATATACAGACATTCCCAGGACCTGATCTACGATTAAGCCATGTTATCATAGATTGAGTCCCTATTTGTACACACATTCACCAGTGCTGGAAGCTGCACTGGGAACACATTCCAAGTTGGGGTGAAGGGAGAGGTGAGATTGTAGGGGAGGTTGGCAGGTCCATGGGAGCTGGCAGGTCTGCAGGGCTGGTTGTCCATCCAGGGGTGGTAGGGTCAGAGGGCTACAAATACCCAGTCAGGCTGGGGGGGAGGGGATCAGAAAACTGCAGCCCCCAGGGCTTTCCCAGATCCAGGGCTGTGCTCTGAAAAAGTACACACTGGGCATGTCCACACAAGATGTTTACTGCAGTTGCCTAATTAGCTCCACAGTAAACACCTCAGCATCTACACATGTAGTAAAATTAGGACAGAATCACCAGCACACATACAGATTGGAAGATGACCTTCTAAGTAGCACAGTGCCAGAAAGGGATCTCAGAGTAATAGTACACTCCAAGATGAACATGAGTCATCAATATGGCGAAGTGATCAGTAAAGCTAACCGCACTCTATCATGCATCACACAGATACATCACAAACAGGTCTAAGGAGATGATACTTCCCCTCTATGTGGCATTGGTAAGGCCACAGCTGGAGTACTGAGTCCAGTTTTGAGCACCGCACTTCAAGAAGGATGTGGATAACCTTGAGAGGGTCCAGAGGACGGTTACTTGTATGGTTAGGGGGCTACAGGTAAGGCCCTATAAGGAGAGATTAAGGGACCTGTATCTCTTCAGCCTCTGCAAGAGAAGGCTGAGAGGTGATCTTGTGGCTGTCTACAAATTCACTGGGGGTAGGGGAGGGCAGCAAGGAATAGGAGATACTCTATTTACCCTTGGGATAACTAGAAACAATGGCCACAAATTGAGAGAGAGCAGATTTAGATTGGACATCAGGAAGAACTTCTTCATGGTAAGGGTTACCAGAATCTGGAATGGGATTCTGAGGCAGGTCGTGCTCTCCCCTACCTTGGAGGTCTTTAAAAGGAGGTTAGACAAGTACCTGGCTGAGGTCATCTGACCCCAATTTCCTGCACAGGGCAGGGGGTTAGACTCAATGATCTACTGAGGTCCCGTCCAACCCTAAAAATCTATGAAATATATGACAGAGTAAACTAATTAATTCCACAGTAGGTTGATACTTATAAATACAAGTACTATCCTATTGCGGATTTTTTTACTCAGCAGTACCACACATGTAGATGCTGACCCAGCTGCCTGGGGCATGAAGGTGCTTCAGTGTGGGGGCTGCCTGCCAGCTAGCCCCACACTGAAGTACCCTCCACACTGAAGCCCCTTCACAGCACATTGAGCCAGATCGGAGCAGGCCCAGGCTGACAGGCTAACCCCCTGAGCCCTCTGCCAGCTGGGGCTGCTCTGTCCTTGAACAACATGCTTCAGTCCCAGGCACACATGCAAATGGTGCACCCAGAAGCAATAAACTCCAGCACAATATGCACCAGTTTATTGTTCCACATTAATTGCAAGTGTAGATGCACCCACAGGGCAAGCCTACATATGCAATTAATTTGAGGCAGTAAACTCTGGAGCAATTTGAGACAGAGTAAAACTACTCAAGAGCAGTGACTACACATGTACCTGGAACAGCAGCAATTGGAGCCAGGGCCGAGCAGTTTACACCAGGGTCACTCAGCCCCAGGCTCCAAGTGGCAGCATCAGGTGGCAGAGGGACTGGCTGGGAAAGAGAGTGCTGAAAGTGCACAGTCATGTGGCTAGGCAGGAGGCAGGAGTCTGGTCCCCCAATGACTGGGCTCACTGAATGCAAATTACAGCCACAGTCACCATCTGCACATGCATTTAATCACAGTAAATTACCCCAGCCTAAAATAGTACTGTCTCCAACTATCTGACTGTGGTGTAAATTAGGTTACTGTGGCCTAACACTGTCACGCATGTAGACAGTAATGCTTTACTGTGCAAGTCATTAATTTACTCCTCAGCAAAGCGCATATGTACACACGGCCACATTCAAATAGATTGGCAAAATTTAGCCTAATCTACGTAGTGGACCTTCTCAGGTGAACTAAGTTAGATCAGGCCAGCCATTTTTTGCCAAATCTAAACTCCATAAATGCTTGTACAGTTCATCACTTAGATTGACCTAACCGTAGTTAAGTTAAGACCTAACCCTAGTCTTGAAAAAAAAAAAAAAGAGGCGTACATACAGTGGAAGTCAAGGACAGTCCTCAAGGAGGACTATACAACAGTGATCCGTACTTCTGGGAAATGATTAGGAAAGCTAAGGCAGTGACTGAGTTTAAGTTAGCCAAGGGAATCAAGGACAATAAGAAGTACTTCTTTAGGTATGTAGGGAGCAGAAGGAAAACAAATGGAAGTTGGGGGGCCCCTGCTTAACACCTCAGGACAAGTGGTAATGGACACTCAGGAAAAAACTGAACTCCTGACTGCCCACTTTGCTTCAGTATTTCACCAAACCAAGGGGAAAGACAAGCGAGATAAGGAACACAGGGGGCACGGTGGGAATGATAGACTTCCCAATGTGAATGCTAAGCTGGTGCAAAACCAACAAGAAAATTTAGACATTTATAAGTCAGCAGGACCAGATGGACTTCACCTGAGAGTGCTGATGGAGCTGGCTGAGGTCATTGTGGAACCCCTGGCAAAACTCTTTCAGAAATTGTGGCACAGAGGGGAGATCCCTGAGGATTGGAAGAGGGCCAACATTATGCCCATCTTCAAGAAGGGGAAGAGGGAGGACCCAGGCAACTGTAGGCCAATCAACCTAACCTCCATCCCAGGGAAAATCCTGGAAAAACTCATTAAAGCATCTATATGTGATACGCTCACTGAGGGTAAGATTCCAAATGACAGCCAGCATGGCTTCGTCGCGGGTAGGTCTTGTCTTACTTATTCCATCTCCTTTTACGAACAGGTCTCTTGCCATCTGGACATGGGAGAAAAGGTCAACATTATATACCTAGACTTACAAAAGGCTTTTGATCTAGTATCCCACGATATCCTTGTGAAAAAATTGGAAGTTTGTGGACTTAACTGCTCAACAGTTCCGTGGGTGGAAAACTGGCTGCATGGTAGGACCCAGAGAGTTCTCATGAACGGATCTGTGTCATCCTGGTGAGAAGTGGCCAGTGGTGTCCCTCAGGGGTCCGTGCTTGGACCGGTGCTTTTCAACATCTTTATCAATGATTTGGATGTGGGGGTGAATAGTTCGCTGGCCAAGTTTGTGGACGACACCAAGTTATGGGAGATCATGGTCATGCCAGAAGAGAGGTTATAGATAGAGGCAGATCTAGACAGACTGGAGAGTTGAGGTGACCGGAACCAAATGAAGTTCAATACTCAGAAATGTAAGGTGCTCCATCTGGGGGCAAACAATCCCCAACATACCTACAGGCTCAGTGGAGTGAATGCTGTGGTCAGAAGGGCAAACAACATGCTAGCATGTACTAACCGCTGCATCTCATGCAAAACTAAGGAAGTGATACTCCCACTGATACTCCATCCTAAAACCGCTTGTCACCCACAGAGCAAGTTTTGTCCAAGACACCACAGACTTGCTACGGAAACTTAAAAACATAGACC